ATGTAGCCGCCCCGCCGACTGCAGGCCGCGGCAGGCCCTGCGCCTTGAGCCCTTGGCGGCTTGGACACTGATTCCGAGAGTCGTTTTCGTCGCTCTGTCTCTCTGATGGGACATCCTGTAAAGGTGCGAGAGAGACCGAGCGACGAAAACGACTCTCGGAATGAGTCTGCTGGAGGCGTCTGGGTCGCGTTGTCGTTTTCGCCCTTGTGACTCACTCACTCCACGCCTCGTGTTGCTCAAATGTTTGAGCGTCGGGTGTCGTCGGCTCGGCGGGCCGCGGTTCGGTTCGGGCCTCGACCGCCCCGCCAACGCCCCCGTCCAACTCGAAAATAGAAAACGCACGGTTTCCTCTCAAATTTCGTGCGACGCTGGTGACATGGCGAGCCTCGCGTGGGCTGCTCCCGGCTGCGCGGCCAAGCCGGGCCGAGCTGGCTAGCTGGCGGGCTGGCTGGCTAGCTAGCTGGCTGGCTAGCTAGCTGGCGGGCTGAACTGGCTGGCTGGCTGGCTGGCTGAACTGGCTGAACTGGCTAGCTAGCCGGCTGGCTGAACTGTCTGGCTGGCTGACTAAACTGGCTGCCTGGATTCGCTGTGCGCGCGCAGTTTTCTCGTGTGCTCCGCTTGGCTCCGCTTGGCTTTGTTTTTCTCATGTTCTAGTGCACCGCGAGCCACCGGCCCGGCCTCTCAGGTGTGCCTCTAGGTGTGCCGTGCCGGGCTCTGCCCGCTCTGCCGCTGCCGGCGTCGGGGGTAGACGCGGCGCGGCACGGCACGGCACGGCATGCGCACCTGGGCCGCGCGCTGCGCGCTGGAGCAGGACAAGTGGAGTGACTCGGTGGCGGCTCGGCTCGGCTCCTCCTGGACAATGGAGCGCGGCGTGCAATGCGTGCAGTGCTCCACACTCACTCACACACGCACACGCGCACACACGCACACACACACACCAACACACACACATACACACACTCGACACGCACGCACTCACTCTTTTCCCCTGTTTCTGGGTTCGTGTCCTGGCCGAGATCATTGCATGTGATTCGGAGCGGCCCCTGGCTGGAGTCTCCAGCCAGTGCACTCTTCCAGTGTGTCCGGGCTAGCCTGGTCCGGGTGTCTGTCTGTCTCGCGGACAGTGTCGCACAGTGGGCCAGAAGACCGGCGGAGGCGGCCAAAACTCTAGACGCGTTTTGAGCTCCAGAGTCGCTAAACAGGCCTCGAACCGAACGTGTGACCCCACCAATGGATTCCTCGTTCGGAGAGCAATCCATTGGTGGGGTCACACGTTCGGTTCGAGTCCCATTTAGCGACTCTGCAGCTCAAAACGCGTCTAGAGTTTTGGCCGCCTCCACCGGTCTTCTGGCCCACTGTGTGTCGCGGACGGACACGCTCCCTGGACGATGTCCGGCCCAGGGGCGTGCACAGCTCGCCTCCTCGGGAGGGGCGGTGGAACCTTTTTTTGAGGAACTTTGCCTAACTTCCAGGAGTTAGACGCCAAAACCTGCCTCAAAAGTATACCTTTTGGGGTCCTTCGGGGGGGGCGATCGCCCCCTCCGCCCCCCCCTTGTGCACGCCCGTGGTCCGGCCAAGGGCGAAGCGTGGAATCGCCCTGACGGGAAAGCTTAAGGGCGCGACGAGCGCCCATCTCTTTCCTCCCTGATGACAGGCTGCACCGCGCTCTACAGCATGCCTGTTTCCACAGTGTGGCAAACAGGGTTCGAAAGGTGGCGGTTTATGCTCGGTTCCGTGCGGTTATTATGCCTGAAGCCACCTAGTTGTTGTTTTTTCGTGCCGCTGCACTGTCTGCAGGGTGCGTCGCCAGTGTGCATTACAGGCTTTTGCCGCCGATGAGACCCGTCTCGTTGAACGCCAAGCTGGTGCTCCGCCTGGAGTGTTACCCTGGAGGGTTTAGTGCATGATTGCAGCCCGGCTGCCCAACACAGGCACCCCTTTTCGAGTGTAGTTTCTTGCGGCTTGTGGAGCAGTGTGGAACAGTGTGGTGGAACGGGCACCGCGTAGAGGCTGTCGCTCTTCTCGGAGTCGCCGCGGTGCAAACTGGAATGGCCACTCGTCCGATCGGACAGCGGCCTCAGCGGCCCCTTGCTTCTTACCAAGAGCGGCGACGGCGTGGCGGCGCGGCGTGGCGGCGTGGCGGCACCCGGCTGCAAATACCCGAATCGGCAAACGCCGCGCGGGGCCTTTCTCTGCTGCCCACTTTTCACCGCCCTTTTTTCACTCCCCACTTTTCACTCCCCACTTTTCACTCCCCACTTTTCACTCCCCTCCACTGTGTACTCTCCACTTCCCACTATCCACTCCCTGAACCCGCCCACAGTGGGCCAGAAGACCGGTGGAGGCGGCCAAAACTCTAGACGCGTTTTGAGCTCCAGAGTCGCTAAACGGGACTCGAGTCGAACGTGTGACCCCACCAATGGATTCCTCGTTCGGAGAGCAATCCAAAGGTGGGGTCACACGTTCGGTTCGAGTCCCATTTAGCGACGCTGTATGCACAATCGTAACCATTTCTGCTTGTGCCCGCCTTGTCCTTCGCGGCGGCCTCGTCGCCGTCCTCGTCGCCGTCCTCGTCGTCCTCGTCGCCGTCCTCGTCGTCGGGGAGCTCTCACGCGTGATGTGCGATGCGTATCGCGCCGACGGGGAGCGGCAGGGCGCGCAGGGCTTCCACCAAGGCGGGGCGGGCTGGTGATCCATTATTTACAATTAGTCCCAGCGGCCGGCCGGCCGGCTGGCTGGCTGGCCGGCGGAGGCAGGCAGTCCGAGGTCCGCGCCTCTGCTCTGATTAACTCGGCGGAGCGTATTTTTATTTTCGCGCGGGAAAAAAAGAAAAAGAGAGACGGGATTAAAAAGTTAGGCGGCTGCGGGACGGAGTGCGTAAAAGTCCAGCGCCAGAGGTATTCTGCCGAGGGACTCCGCACGGCGTAGCCCTGTCTCTCTCGCACCCGTGGGGCGGTGCGAGAGAGAGACAGACGGGGCGAGCAGGCGCACAGTGGGCCAGATGACCGGTAGAGCGGCCACAATTCAAGACGCGTTTTGAGCTCCAGAGTCGCTAAATGGGACACCAACCGAGCGTGTGACCCCACCAATGGATTCCTCGTTCGGAGAGCAATCCAAAGGTGGGATCACACGTTCGGTTCGAGTCCCATTTAGCGACTCTGGAGCTCAAAACGCGTCTGGAGTTTTGGCCGCCTCCACCGGTCTTCTGGCCCACTGTGAGGCGCCGCTCGCGCCGCTTGCTCGGCCGGACACGCCATTCGTAAGCTGTCGCCTGATCTCTCAATCTGAATCGATGTCTCGATAGGCCGGCCGGCCCGTCGATGTGTGCTCGAGGTCTCGATCGATTCAAATGGGCTGGCTGGACGGCCTGACGGGCTGACGCGCTAGAGAGAGACAGAGACAGGTGGGCTGGAATGGATCCACTTACTGGCGAGGAATGAGCGAGACCGGCCAAGTCGAGCAGATCGAGATTTCGCCGATTGTGCGAATAAGCCTGCGCGACGATGAGGAGCCCCGCCTCACCCCGCCTCACCCCGCCCCGCCCCGCCCCGCCCGCGTTTTGAGGAGGAAGGTACAGTCCGCGGCCAAAGCGGCGGCGCGTTTGGGGCGACGCTGCAGCCTGTCAAATGTACAGTCGCAGCCAAAAAAATTTGACCTTTTATTTATTAAATTGGGTTGTGTGTTTCTCTTTTTTTTTCGATGTTTGGGCTGCCATTGTGTGTCTTCGCCCTGGACGGCCCTTCGACGGGCCGGACGGGTACAAACGAGCGAGGCCGACTCCATGACCCTCGCGGGGTGTCTGAGTTAGAGAGAGAGAGAGAGAGAGAGAGAGAGAGAGAGAGAGAGAGAGAGAGAGAGAGAGAGGGAGGGAGGGAGGGAGAGAGAGGGGTGGCCTCGTCCACAGTCAAACACTGCTGGGCCAGCAAGCCCTTCGGGCCCTTTGGGCGTCTTTGGCACTGGCAGTACATGCCCGGGCCGGTGTTGCGTTTCGTTTCGCCCTCGGCCCGGCCGGCCCTTGCAGTGCCTTGCAGCGCCTCGCCGCCCGGACGCCGATTGTAATTAGAATGATGGACTGCCGACGGCGCGGCGCACAGTGGGCCAGAAGACCGGTGGAGGCGGCCAAAACTCTAGACGCGTTTTGAGCTCCAGAGTCGCTAAATGGGACTCGAACCGAACGTGTGACCCCACCAATGGGTAGCTCTGAGAACGAGGAATCCATTGGTGGGGTCACACGTTCGGTTCGAGTCCCATTTAGCGACTCTGGAGCTCAAAACGCGTCTAGAGTTTTGGCCGCCTCCACCGGCTTCTGGCCCACTGTGCGGCGGCGCGGCCCCACTGCTACTGACCTCTTTGTAACCCGCATCCTGCCCGCTTGTTTGACCCACGTATCCTCTCTGCGGCTCAAAGGATCCCCTGGATGCCCCGACCGGTGGCGTGGATCCCATACTGTTCCCAGGCACGCCACTGCCCCGCCGTGCCCCGCCGGGGGCCGAACCCCCCCCCCACACACACACGCACACACACGCACATGCGTGCGCGTACACGCAACGCGTTCCAATTTGGGCCTTTTTCGGCCGGCATTGTGGTCTTGGGAGGTCATTGCGGGGCCCAGCAGGCTGATTCCGAGAGTCGTTTTCGTCGCTCTGTCTCTCCCGCACCCATACGGGACGCGCCGTGAGCGCGAGAGAGACACAGAGCGACGGAAACGGCGGCCGACCGCCATCTGGAGTTCCAGCGCTCCAGGCTGCAGTCCAGCAGTCCAGTGGCCAGTCTGGATCGGCGGTCGCCATTTTGGGCTTCTGTCTGTACCGGCATTAACTTTTATTACAAGATTAACTTGATTTTCAAATTTGACGTCTGAATTGTTTTGTTGTGGCGCCCCGGCGTTGAGGTCCCCGTCGGACTGCGTCGGACCGGCCCCGGCGGGAGAGGCGGCGGTGCGGCGGCGAGCGTCCCGAGTCCACTCTGTTCCCTAACGTGTTCCTTTCTTGTTGTTGCAGCAGAAGATCTCCTTCTGGTTCGCCACGGGAGGCGCCGGCTTCTGTCTGAGCCGGGCCCTGGCGCTCAAGATGCTCCCCGTCGCCGGGTAAGTCTGCAGCTGTCTGCAGCTGTCTCGCTGCTCGTGTACTAGCCGATAAGCGGGCCTGGCTGGACCCTATCGCGGGGACGACGCGCCACCAGTGTACCAGTCGCCACTGAACCCGCGCACCGCGTTTTTGAAATCCGGCCAGGAGACTGGTTCCGAGAATCGCCTTCGTCGCTCTGTCTCTCTCGCACCCATGGGGCGCCCCGTAGAGGTGCGAGAGAGACAGAGAATCGGTCTCCCGGACCTGCGAGCGCTCTCCAGCGCCTGCGGGTCGGGGGTAGGCCACGCCACGCGGCATCGCTGTCGCATGGCAGCCTACCCCGCAGGCGTTCTGCCAGATTGACGCGCTGCTCTGCGTGCTGTGCCTGAGCTTCGAGGCTACCTTTTGTGTGCCCGTGTGTGTGCCGCTCGGACCTGATTATCCTTCTGAAAGGGTTCCCTGCTCGCTTTAAAAAAGAGAAAAGAAAGTGGGGTTTATGTATAAAGCTGCTATAAAAGTGCATGAAATTGGCACCCTGGCAGAATCGCCGACCCTCGCGGCCCCGTGCTCTACCCTTCGCCGCCCGCGGGCCTTCCGGCGGTGAACTGAGCCCCCCTTCCCCCTCCCCTTCCCCGGGGGCACTCTGGGTACACTTTACATGCGCGTGACGACCCGACGGCCTGGCCAGGAGACTCATGCTGAGGGTTGTCTTGGTCGCTCCGCCTCTCTCGCGCCCACACGAGACGCCCCACTGGTGCGAGAGGGACGGAGCGACGACGACGACTCTCGGAATCGGCCTGCAGGGCACGTCCAGATTACAGTGGGGGCTCGCACCCGGAGGCAGGGCGGCTCCTCGGCTCCTCCGTGGTTAGGCCCCCGCGGCCCATACCGCACAAGGCTGTCTGTCTGTCTGTCTGTCTGTCTGTCTGTCTGTCCGTCCGTCCGTCCGCTGTCTGCCCGTCTGTCTGCCCGTCTGTCTGCCCGTCTGTCTGCCCGTCTGTCTGTCTGTCTGTCTGTCTGTCTGTCTGTCTGTCTGCTTGTCTGTCTGCCCGCCCGTCTGTCTGTCTGTCTGTCCGCTGTCTGTCTGTCTGTCTGTCTGTCCGTCGCTGAATTAGCCAGGGAATCGGTTCGTCTGGCGGCGCGCGCGGTGCGCGGTGACAAGTAGGAATGCCCCGGCGGGGCGCTGGGCGGTCGAGAGGCTGGTGCGAGCGAGACGGAGCGATGTTCTGGCGGCCGGGCCTGCCGGTGCGAGCGAGACGGAGCGATGTTCTGGCGGCCGGGCCTGCCGGTGCGAGCGAGACGGAGCGATGTTCTGGCGGCCGGGCCTGCCGGTGCGAGCGAGACGGAGCGATGTTCGGGCGGCCGGGCCTGCCGGTGCGAGCGAGACGGAGCGATGTTCGGGCGGCCGGGCCTGCCGGTGCGAGCGAGACGGAGCGATGTTCGGGCGGCCGGGCCTGCCGGTGCGAGCGAGACGGAGCGATGTTTGGTGACCGTGCGAGGAATGCCCTAATGAGCAAGCAGCGCGGACTGGGCGACTCGGCCTGTGTCGCTGGAGTCCAGCTGGAGTCCGCTCGACCGTCCGAAATGGAGGATCGGCACCCTTGCCTCGCCTCGCCGCCATCCCCTCGCATTTTGGAAGAATTTTAGTTGGACCGGCCGGCGGTACTTGTAGTATTCCCTGATTGGGAGCGGATTCCGACCGCTGTGCGGGCGGGGCGGGGCGAATTTATGTGCCACCCTGTTGATTTGTCATGTCACTGGCAAGGCCTCTGTCCAGGCCGGAGGAGTAGCCTCCTGAAAGAGACCCGAAGGGGCCCTTCCTGCCACACTATACTCGATTCGGACTTAGCGCAATAAAAGACCAAAGTTTTCGTCTGTACCTTGTTTCTGTACCTCCACGTCTGACCGCCATGTTTCCACCTGTTGCAGGGGCGGCAAGTTCATCAGCATTGGCGAGAAGATCCGCCTCCCGGACGACGTCACCATGGGCTATGTCATCGGTAAGGAAGTAGGCAATGCAATCGATTATAGTGGCTCGCGGCCGAAACTCTAGACGCGTTTTGAGCTCCAGAGTCGCTAAATGGGACTCGAACCGAACGTGTGACCCCATCAATGGATTGCTCTCCGAACGAGGAATCCATTGGTGGGGTTACACGTTCGGTTCGAGTCCCGTTTAGCGACTCTGCAGCTCAAAACGCGTCTAGGGTTTTGGCCGCCGCCGCCGCCTGTCTTCTGGCAAATCCACTGTGCGGGTGCTAATTGGCGGCCCAGTGGATCTGTCGGCAAAGCGTTTGGCGCTGCGTTTTTGCGTGCAGCCGATTTCCCCGTTCGGAAGGCCCAAATTGGGGGCTGGAGGCTCGAGGTGGGGCCGAGGCGTGTAATTGAAAGCGAGCCACAACACTGCCTTGCCTGCCGGCTTGCCCACAGTCAGTGTTCCCTTGGAGGTTTTTCTCTCTTTTCGGTGGCCCGTCTCATTCTTGCCCCCCACCCCGCCCCGCCCCACAGGAGGGGCCCCCGTCGGCCCCACTGGAAATTTCGGCCCCTTTTCAAAAGGCAAGCATCCATTGTTGCGCGTCGCTGCTGCGTAGCAATCAAAATTTCTGACATTTTTGTGAAAGTCGCGCAAAATAAGAAGGGCGAGCTGCTTTGCGACTTGCGAGCGCGGGGCACCACAGCGCCCTTTGTTTTTCGCGCCCCGACTTTTTAATGAGTCGGATTGCCGGATTGTGATTGTTGATTGGCCACTGTAAATGAGCGCGGCATGAGGGGGACATGGCCGCCCAAAGCTCGTATTTCATGACGTGCTTAATTGGGCGGGGCTGGGACCTTGTGTCGTGGCTGCCAGCCCTGTCTGCCCCGCCAGGGTCCACGGTCGTGGCAGGGCAGTGTGGAGTGCAGGGCAGGGAGCATCGCGGACAGGCAAGCCGGTCCTGCCTCCCGTCTCCGCTCTGCTCGGCCACGGCCTCCGCCAAGCAGGCTTCGCCTTGCTACGCTTTGCCACGCTTTGCCGGCCCGGCCTCGGCCCTCCTGCGGGCAGTGGGCCAGAAGACCGGTGGAGCGGCCAAAACTCTCGACGCGTTTTGAGCCCCAGAGTCGCTAAATGGGACTCGAACCCAACGTGTGACCCCACCAATGGATTGCTCTCCGAACGAGGAATCCATTGGTGGGGTCACACGTTCGGTTCGAGTCCCATTTAGCGACTCTGCAGCTCAAGACGCATCTGGAGTTTTGGCCGCCTGCGCCGGTGTTCTGGCCCACTGCTGCGGGCAGCCAAACCGAGTGCCGCTCTCCTTACTCTTTCGTCTGTCTCTGTCTTCCCTCTCGCTACCGTGTCGGCACGGCGGCTCCGCCGTGAGTGAGAGAGACAGACAGCGAGAGGCCTCTTTGATCCGAACACGGTGGTGCACTGTGATTGGTCAGACCACCGATCCCCCCTCCTTTTTCCCCCTTTCGGCAGGGGCCCGGCAATCGGACATAAACCGTGGGCTTTACACAACAGAAACGCGACTTTTAATATCTCGTGGATCCCTTGGTTTTATTTTTACGGCTTGGTTTCTGGCGTGAGGCCGCTCCGTTTCTCATTAATGAAAGCCAGCCTGATGAGATTAGAGGAATGGAGGAGGAAAGTGGGAAAGATTTGCCGGTGGAATTTCCACTTTGTCCCGCTCGGCGAGTCCCGGAGTCACGACAGTTACATTTTGTAGTCTGTGGCTGACGTCCAGTTTTGAAGCTGTGTGTCTCACCGGACTATTATTTCTCGGTTCCAGAACACCTGTTGCGGAAACCCTTGACTGTCATCGACCAGTTTCACTCACACTTTGAACCAATGAAGTTCATCCATCAGGAAACAATGCATGAGCAGGTGAGTGTCCCACTCAGAAAAATCTTTTATTCTCTGCAACAGTCCTGTTGGGTTGATTTTTTGATGATAATTGTGCTTTTGTTTGTTGCAGATCACCTTCAGTTATTCTCGTTACAGCAAGAATGAGGTGAATGTTCTAAAAATAGATGGCTTTGACTCAAGGCTTGATCCCACTAGGTAAGTCAGAGAAGTTCTATTGAGTGCAAACTATTTTTTCTTAAATTTATCAATATCAGACATCTAATTGTTTTGTTTTGTTTTCCTGTTTAGATTTTTGTCTCTTCACTGCCTCCTGTTTCCATATCTGAGTTTCTGTCCAAGATGATGAATTACTTAGAGACTTGATTCTAGTCGAAATGGGATTATTCAGGAAGTGTTCAGTCTGCTCATGTTAAAGAAATGTCTGCTTACTAGAGGCAAGGGAAAATGACTCAGAGGCATCATCGCCATTCCCTTGAACAACTTAAGGCACTTTGAGTCATCCTTCGTTGCAGCATTTGTGTGTGATAATGTGCTGGAGAAAATTGATTCTGACCCCTCTGTTGATTTTTATCAAATTAGTACATGAAATTTTATTTTTTGCCATTCTTTTGTTTTTTAAATTTATTATCAAAAATCAACTTAAAATTTATTTTATTGAAATTGACATTAGTCAGTCTGCCCAGTCATTTAGAGGCAGGCATGTAAGGGGTAAGACATAAACTGTGATCATCTTTGTACAGTATTCTTGTTGTTGTAATTAGTTCTTGTTAATTTTATTGTTATTTAGATGGATATAGTATTTGAGTGAATGTATAATGATGTTATGTGTTTTAATAGTCAAGACATACCTCTAAGGAATACTAGAAGGTTGCACAATAATGCAACTTTTAAAATGGTGCTGCTCATGTCATATTAATTTTATGATCTGGGTGATAGATAGACACTGTTAGCTTAGGTATTTATGCCTTGTGCTCTTAGCTTACATATTTATCAGTGCCTTTTGGCAGTATGCCAAGTTCCCTCTTGTTTTGTTTAAGTACATGCAGAATGTGTGTCTGCGTTTCAAGTTACCAACTACCTTATTGTTCACTTAATTAAGGCATTGAAGAAGTAAATTTAACATGTGAAGCAATTTACATCAATGTTATGACAGCAAAATTAGAAATGTTTTTCAAATTCCAAACTAATGTTATGTTTTGAGTGTGTGTGAAGGTGTGTTTTGAGTTACAGAATAAGAAGTGAAATATGTGCTCACATTGAGTTTAAGACCTCCATCAAAGTACAGTATAAGTAATCTTTTTCGAAAGTTGTGCCATAATGTAATAGTAATGCGTCATTTTAGAACTTAATGAAGAAATGTACATATGTATCCATATTTGATTGTGAAGTCTTAGGTTCACCATCATAGAATAATCATAAAAGAGCCTTTTAAAAATTTGTTTCATTTCACAAACCTTATCTTGCAAGGACCTCACTAAGGCAAGAGGGAAAAAGAACCCAAGAATTTTTTTACCACAAACTTTAATTTCATTGGAAGATACAGAAAACAGTAATAAATGCCTCATCAGATGTAACAACTAGTGGAATGAGAAATTTGGGAGCAACTAACAGCAAGCACAGCCTGAAGGTAGAAAAAACAAGTACTCTAGAAATCATGAGATAATTCTGCTTGAGCTAGTTGCTGGAGCAGTTTAATGCTCAGGACAGAAGGGGGGCTTGTGTATACATACTAACAGGGGATATGTGTTGCAGGTTGCTCACTATCAGGCGCATAGGAAATTTAACAGGGGGAATGGCCCATCCCCCCTTTAAAAGAAAAAAAATGGCTCACACCTGGCGAGCTGTTCTTACAAAAAATGGCTGAACTAATAAAAGAGCACCGGCATTTGAAATACACACACACATTGTGCAAAAATAACATAGCCCATACCACTTCAGTCAAACAACTTAAAATTATAAACCAATCAGACATTGGAGTTCCACAATTTAACAACATTTTGCAGAGAGATATCAGTCATAAAACAAAAGAAAATACTTAAGTACTCTTAGAGCTATGAATAAGTATTCTTACAGAAATAATTCAGGAAAAAATAGGGAGATTTCATATTTTTGTTTGCTTTTTATATGACATGTAATCTTTTCATGAAAGCGATGTGATGATTATTCAGAGTGATGTAAACAAAAAATGTTGCTGACCCAAACTTCAGTAGAGCATTTAAGATTTTGCTATACACACAGGCCATGAGTAGAACATGTGGAGAAGTCTATTATCAATATTTGCTTGACTTTAGGAAGATGGCACATAAGTCAGCTTGACATGAACAAAAGTATGATACAACAGAACACCATAAAAAGAAAGAATCCTTTGATTTGGTCTTACAATCAAAACCATTCAATTTTTTATTTTAACTAAATCATTCATACTCCGCAATAAGCACCATCATATAAACACCTACAAGAAGAGCAATTATTTCCTTTACAGACTGCCAAAACTTAGTGTCTACTAATAGTTCTGGAATAACTGTCACTGTGGCAACATAAATGAAGCCACCTGCTGTGAAGGGCAAAATCCAAGAAGCACCCACGTCACCTGTTAGCAAGAAAATAATTTGAAATAACTGCAGTCAAACAGTATCACAAGAGATTATTAGTTTTAAAAGCTCATTTTTGATAGAACTTACCAGCTCCCTGAGATAGAAGGGAGAATACAGTCCCCGAAAGAGCTCCCACTGCAGTCACAAGCTGCAGCATCATTGCCTAGAGGAAAAAGAAATAGTAATTTGTGTTAACAAAATTCAGAAAGAAATGAAGCAATCTGTAAACTACCTTAGAAACCCACCTTCCTTCTCGTGCATCCAGATTGGATAAGAATAGCAAAATCTCCAATTTCATGAGGAACTTCATGGAACAGAATTGTTATAGTAGTAATGATGCCAACATTGCGGCCTGCAAGGTAAGATGCACCAATGGCCAAGCCATCAGTGAAGTTGTGAGTGAAATCAGCAGCTAGATTCAGGTATGCTGAAACTTTGATATCTCCTTCTGCAACAATTATGAAACAAAATTAGTCATTTGGTTGAAGTTTGGAGGGAGGAGAGCTTGACACTGCATCATCGAATCAGGGACCGTACCTGATTTCTTCTGAACAACTTCTTTGGTCTTTTCCTTTGTCTTGCCTTTAGAGGTTTCAGAATCTTTAGCATCTTTCCCAGCTTTTTCCTCCTTGGGAGCTGGCTTTGGCGGACCATGAGAGTGACCGTGGTCACCTTTCACAAGGCGTACAAACTTTTCCACCATTAAGAAGACCAGAATTCCACTCAGAACAGCAAGACCAACGCTCATATCATGACCATGACCATGACCATCTTCACCATGGCTGTGGCTGTGACCGTGGCTGTGATCATGGCTCTGACCGTGGCCGTGATCATGTTCATCATGCTCACCATGAGTGTGGGGAGCAAGTGCATGAGGAATCAGATGCAAGAAGGCATCACCAAGCAGTCCTCCAGAAGCAAATGCAAGAAGAATTTTCAGCAGCGGCTCCCTTTCAGCAGAGCCATCAAGCGGAACGATGTACAAAAGCAGGAAAGGAGCAAGACTGATGAGCAATGTCGATACAATAGCGTCCATCCAAACAGACGATGTATCTGATCCAGACATCGATTCACTCTTCTTCGGTGGAGCCGTCTGGCCTAAACTTGGAGATTCCTTTCTCACCTGTTCTTGTGCTTCATTTGCTGCTTTTGAATACTTAAAGGATGGTTTTTCATGGTGATGATGATCGTGATGATCATGACCATCGTGATCATGATGGTGGTGGTGGTGGTGATGATCAACACCATCGTGCGAATGTCCATGACTTTTAACTAAAGTTGGAAAACTAAAAAATATCAAAACACATAAAAGGCCTAAACATATATTCACTAACACTTGTTTGGTTATGAAAGGTCTATTCTCTTGCTCCATTGCTTTTGTTGTGCTCTGTCCACTTTGGTCTGACTGCCTCACTGGCTTCTTGGTTGTCATTTTTGCAAGTCGAGTCAGGCGCGAGGTGTGTCTTTGTTCATAATAGCAAACGTTTCACGCCGATAAGGAAACCGTGACTTTGGCACAAACAGAAAAGCCGACGACAACCAGTAGGTGGTTGTGTGTGTGTGGCAGGTTGAGCTTCGGATTCGTGCCGCTAGGAGGCGCTTCGGGAAGCCCTACATTCACATTCATATTTGAAATTCCAAGACAGGACAGAGATAGGATTTTGGGCTAAGTTTTGGGTAAGATTTTGATTAAGGCTTTCAGAGTTGGATTTGACAAGACTACGAACTTTAGGACGGAAGGAGTCCCTACCGTTCAGGACGAATAATGCTGACAGCAGTTGGCAGGGACCGAGACTAGAACGACAGCGATGAAAAATTGCTGGTGCACCTATTTGTGTGTGTGGAAGTGGAAAGCACCCGCTGGAGGAAGGGGGTAAATTTTGCGCCCCTGCAGCAGACACGGCGGACACCCCCACAACAGCTGTCAAGTGTCTTCTGCTACTGTGCGCAGTTAAAATTGGCGAAGCCATGGGAACCTTAGTTGTGTAAACAGTCATCATGATGGAAGAGGTTTCAATCTCTGGCGAGGAGGCCGAGGGGTTTGATTTGTACGATGGAAAGCCCTCTGGAGAGCGTTGGGCTCCAGTTGGAGCCAGCGAACTGGACGACGAAGCCCAGTTCGAATCTGCTTACGAAGGCAATTGGTACGTTTTCTATGTTTCTGGTCCTTACATGAACATTTTAGTTTGGGTTTTCCGTTGTGGTGGACGTTACCTGACTACTTTCCAAATCTCGTTGAGGAGCCACTATCTAATGCCAGTGTGGTTAGGGGTGGTTGTCATGTTGGTTAGGGGGTGGCTACACCAATCTGGTGGCCTCAAAAGACAACGTAATTTAAAATGATTTCCCTGAGAATAGCAGGGACTTGCAGGAACTAGCAAAAAGTGTGTTCTGGATTGTTAATTATGTTCCCGCTTCTGTATTTCAGCTTTTACCCTGGTGACTTATCTCGAACGAAGGAGTTGGAAGAACAGCTTGATGTTGTCAATTCATCTCTCATTGCACTGACATCACACTTTGCTCAGGTACAACTTTTTTATACCATATGAAAAAAAAGTATTGCTGTTTATTGGTTATTTAGTTGTTTCATTATATGTACCTGTTTCAGGTACAATTTCGTTTACGGCAAGTTGTTGATGCCCCAGTGAATGACAAAGATGCTCTTCTCAAAGATCTGGAAGAATTTGCATTTCGTGGCATTCCAGAGGTCAAGGGACCCCATTTTTTCTGCAAAGATGATAAAGAATCGGTAAAATTGACTTAAATTTGCTGTCATGACTTTCTTTTACAAGACCATTTCTACTGATATTCTTTTTTCTTTGTTAGAGTGCAAATAATCAGGAAGACTATGTGACACAGCAGAGAGAAAAACAAAAAGAACTGATAAAACAGTTAAAGGAGCAGTTAGAGGATTTAGAGAAGTATGCCTATGAGACTGGTGGTGCTGGGCTCCCTCAAAGTGTACTTCTGGAGAGACAGAAGCTACTTATCGGTAAGACTTGCTCCCATTCAGTTTCTACTCCTGCAACTCTTGTGTTTCCACCATGTATAAGAAAATCTGAGAGATATCATTTTCTATGTTTTTGCCTTTAGATGAACTGAAAGGAAAGTTGAATCTCAAAGTTGATGATATTGAAGTGTTAACTCCAGAAATGTTGAAGAAAGAAGTTGATGAGGCAGTTGGGGAGGTAAACAAATTTTAATAATTGAAATGTAATGGCAAGCTTTATTTTAGTGCGGATTGCATGTGGTTGGCATTGGTCATTTGGGATAATAATAGGATAGGGGACAAAAATGAGACATACTATCAACATACTACATCCTGAACAAGTAGAATCATCTAGAAATGGAGAGTCCCATTTTTACCCCTGCAATATTTTTAACTATGTCCCATTGTTACTTCAACTGACCCTACTAACTTTCTTTCTTTTTTTTAAAAATCGTCCCAATAATACTAACAAACTAATCATTTTCATGCTAGCTAATCAACCCACTAAAGGTGAAGGAACAACTGGTCAATCAACTGAAAACACAAATTTCTGATCTGGAAAGATTTGTTGACTTTCTTCAAGGTATTTGCATGCAGGCTGTAGCTTGACTTAAACTACTAGTTTTTAATCGTCAGAGCAGTAGTAAATGCCACTTCTGGACGGCTTCAATTCATCTTCTTCTTCAATTTCAGAGACCGGAAATGATCCTCTCCTCACCACTCATCAAAAATGCACATGTAATTGTCGAGTTCACACTGAAACTTGTGCCATCACACAGAGAGCCAAAAAGGTCAAAAGTTATCAAACTCGTCAAAAAGAGTTTGACGTTGAAGAAAAGAAGGTTTGACTCATTTATTTCAGTACTATAATTCTTTGAAGTTTTTAGAATGCTAAATGTATGTTTTACCTGGAAATTAAATTAATTTCTTTGTTGCAGATTCGAGAAAAAACTCTTAATATAGTGAAAAAGGTTGCTGTACTTATGCAAATATTTGCTGTATCGCAGTTTGGATGCGGACAAGATGTATTTAGGAAAAACACCATGAAGAAGACAATGAAAGTTAATCACTGGGGGTGTGTGTCTATATCTGCCTTAAATTTTTTTTTTTGTTTGTTTGTTACTCTCTGTTACTGTTGACTAACATTCTAGTTTCTCCCAATCCCAGTGATTTGCGTGCTCGCCTAGAGGTTGCTGTTGCTGAAGTGTCAGAAATTATGAAAGAAGCCACTGAAGGCCGAAGCACTGGAGAGAGTGAAGACTATGCATCAGACTCTGAAGGAGCGCCTATTGTTATGTGCAATGCTCGCATAACTACTGCTGTTAGAAAAAAATTGGCAATGGCCATTAAAGATCTTATTGAACATGGTCTTATTCAGGTAGAATTAAGCATTTATTTCTGATTGAGATACGTAGTAAATAAAATACTTGGAACTTCCCATTGAATTTATTTTTGTTTCTTGCAGAACAACCAAAATTTGAGCTTGGTTCCACTAATTGGATGCTTTCCTGTCCGTGGCCCTGCAGTGAAGGAAAAAACTTTTCATGCCTGGGAACTTATTTTGGCATATTATGACTTGAAGAATGGAGAGTCTTATAATGCTACACCGGCAAGACGTTTGTCTCAGAGTTTCAACTTGGAACTTGTGGGTGGAGTTGCAGTATCAAACAAGCAGGTAATGAAACAAAGTTATCTTATATCTTTGTTGTGGATTTTGTTTTCAGATGTATAGAAGCATGATGGTGTGTACTAATACCTTTTCTTCCACTGTTTAAACAGCAACTGCTAAGCACCATTGACAACATAATAAGCAGCCACACAAGATATAAACGCAGCTATGATTCTCACTTCAAAGCCTTTGTTTGTGCCGCTTTAAAGTATGTTTGCTTTTTTATTTCATGATCAATGAATTATTACAGATGGTGTTTCTACAATTAGTGATAATTTATTTAATTTAATTTTTTGCAGTTCTAAGAAGCTTGTGTTTTGGTTGAGGCTCATACTCCATTGTCAGCCCATTGTGGAGGCATATTACCAACCATGGAGTTACGTGTGCAAAACTGGTAAGTTAACTGGATAAAAATACGGACATGTAGCAAGTACTACCATGCTGCTGTCTTGTCAGATTTAATACTTTCTATTTTGTTTTTCCTACAGGATTTGAGGACAGCCTTCGTTCATTGGAGAAATTGACAAAATTCCACTTTGAACTTCCAGTTGATTTAGCAGTGAGACAGTTCCAGAACATAAAGGATGCTTTTTAAGCAATTTCTATTTCTGATACGGCCCTTTTGGGATATGCATGACTTTGCACATTCGTCTTGGTCTATAGGAGAGCAAATTTGGTGACTGTTCTTGTGGCACACAGGGAAGTAGTGGAATAAAATAAAATTAGTATCAGAGTGACAAGTATATAAATGACAAGACTTACTTCTGATTTGTAAAATTGTGGCTTGAGTAGTAATGTGATACATGCTCCTAGATGATACAGATTTATTAGTCATATGTACATCTAATTTAATCATAAAGAGAATCTTTAATTTCTTAACTGTGTTTATGTATGCTGTAGACTTATTGGTAAATTCCTATTATCCATGTAACCATGAGGGATGGACCCGTCTCTGAGGATGTAACAGTATTCCGATCAAAACTTCCCGATTGGCGGGATATTTTCCTCAATTAAAATTTTCAGGGAGCCTTGTCTAAAGGGCAAATTATGAAAATCATTGCCAGTGACATTAAATACTTGATCTCCACTTCTGTGTCATATCTGCATCGCAGAAAGATAATATAAGAAGAAAATTTCCATGTCTTTTTTATTAGCTCTTGTATGTTCTAAAGAATCTCAAGATTTTTTTTCCAGAGGTATGATTGTAACCAAACAGTTAATTCATATTATTATTATTAGAATTCCTTTTTTTAGAATGAAAAACATAGTTGATAGTATTCTTAAATGGATTTTATGGTATCATGTTAATTCTGTTGTTTTGTTTTTTCTTGATTTTTTGATTGTACTTATTACCTAGTCAGATTGTAATGCAGATTCCATTTTTGTGATAGTATTTTGTTTTACTGAATATTGTTACATTGTTCTTGTTGTTCTTTTTTTAAACATCAGTTGTTCTGTTATCACCAAAATTAATTTGAATCTCAAAGAAATGCCATATCTGCACAAGTTCACAGATCCTACTCTACTCTATCAATTCTCTTGCCAGCTTGTTTTGAGAATAGTATGTTTATATTGTTTGTTGTATTTTGTAGATGGTTTATAGCTTGGGTCTTCCTGAGTAATTGTTTTGAAATCCTAGTCCTTATTGCAAAGAAAACTTGGTGTGGTGATTTTGTCTTGGGATGTGGAAGTACATATTGTATAATTATTTGGTGTGTACAGTTAGTGTTGTGATATTTTATGTCCACCACTAAAGGTGCCCTTGACTTTGGTGCATTAAAGATAAGATGATAGTTACAGGCCTGAAATAAAGTCTCAAAACATTCAGTGTTGTTTCAATCCAATTTTTATTAACCACATATCGAATTTTAAAACATCCATCTGACGATCGATTACACTTGCATCTGCCTCAAGCAAATATACAGAGACACTGACCTCAAACCTAGCTTCGGAACGAGTTTGTTAGAGTCATGTGAAAGCTATTCAATTCAATGCTGTTTTTTCTTTTTAGTGTGGGCAAAAAATTTTAAAATGGCCAAAACTTGAGTATATTGTGCTGGAGAACTTCCTCAATACTCCTCACTGTATCCTCACTGCATGCGCCGCGTAGGTAGGTAGGCAGCCCACCATCCACAACTACTTCTGCTCAGCTAGCGTTATAAGAAAAGTCATTTTTCGCCAAACAGAAAGCGTCAAAGACCATGGGGCACCGGCTTCTGTTCCTTAGGCCCATAGCAACGTTCCATATGAATTTCAGTCAAATCGGAGGTGGTCGACCATTTTAGTCGAAAAAAAGCTAAGGCAAAGATTTTAAAACGGCCCAAATTCGAGTATGTTGTGCTGGAGGACTCCCTTGTGACTCCTGACCCTATTCCGAAGGCCATTTCGGCTCTTAACGATGTTTTATGGCGAAAAACTGGAGTGCTTTCAAGATGCGCCGTGTAGGTAGGCAACCCACCATCCACACCTTCTACAAATCAACCAGCGTCACGGGAAAAATCATTTTGACACCAAATAGAATGCGTCAAAGACCATGGGGCACCGGGCTTCTGTTCCTTAGGCCCATAGCAACGTTCCATATGAATTTCAGACAAATCGGAGGTGGTCGACCATTTTGTCGAAAAAAAGCTAAGGCTATACATCATGGTTTTTTACCGTTTTTGGCAAAGATTTTAAAACGGCCCAAATTTGAGTATGTTGTGCTGGAGGACTCCCTTGTGACTCCTGACCCTATTCCGAAGGCCATTTCGGCTCTTAACGATGTTTTATGGCGAAAAACTGGAGTGCTTTCAAGATGCGCCGTGTAGGTAGGCAACCCACCATCCACACCTTCTACAACTTAACCAGTGTCACGGGAAAAATCATTTTGACACCAAATAGAATGTGTCATAGATCATGGGGCACCGGGCTTCTGTTCCTTTGGCCCATAGCAACGTTCCATATGAATTTCAGTCTAATGTGAGGTGAGATGGTGGTGGACTGTGGTGAGTCTGGGCCATATGTAATTTCAATGATGAACAAAAATTACTAGTAGAGGAGTTGCCTTTTTATTTTTTACTACATACAAAAATACTATCACAAAATGGTAATAAAAACATCACATAGCATTATTATTAGCACTCATTAAAATAAACATTCATACGCAAGTTAAGGTTGGTCACAGAAATACAATTTCTTTAACACCCAAAAATATTTTGAAGTTCTGTAGTTATTATGTTTTAAAACCTATCAGAGCAAAAAAAAAAAAAGATTGCTTAAAAAATATTTTTCCCATAAAGTCAGTTTTTACACCCCAAAGGCTGTGAACAGTACATTTTTTTAAAACTATGATAATTACAAACAAAAAATAGAATTATTTACTACATATGTACTTATCTTGTCACACATATACACACCCGCGCACACGCAAAAAAGTCACAAACTAACATTTCATTTGACACGTCTTCAAGTTATGCAGCACTCAAATAGTCATAATGAGATCCATGGCATAATATCAGTAAAATGAACAGAAATCCCCTCAGATGAACTGAATTGCCGAAATCCATTTTCAACATGCTTTCATTCACTGATGCTAGCTCCATGCTGCTAAAAAAACAGCTGTCCATATCACAGGTGCACACCACATGCAGATATCAAAGCTAACAGCATGAACACAATAGCAGCTGTAGGATTCGTTGAACTAGAGCTCGATGACGGCGGTGGTGATGAAGCCATTGGTAATTGAGGCTTTTGAGTCGTTGGACTGACAACTTCTGTCTCTTTCAAGTCTGGAACATCCTTTCCACTGACTTCCAGAGGAAGGAAGAGCTGCAGATAAGGAAGCACACATGACCCACATGTTAGTTGCGGATGACATGATACGATACAAATACATTTGCGATTCAGATTCACTGTATTTGTATCTCGAAAATGGCTTAAAATTTGTGTTGAAAACACTTTTGCACAGTGGAGTAAGATTAGTTAAGTAGCTTGTGTCAAGGCGCTCATGCACAAAGGGAATGCAAAGAAAATCCGGATCCCATGTTATGTTTAGCTCAATTCATGAAGTTAGATGCATAATTTTTTTTTTGTGTGTGTGTTAGTAGCTTTGATGCTGCATAAATTTAGCTCATGGAGAAAATTGTGATGCAGTTCAACTAACAGCCAGATAATTAATTATCTGGAACATTGCACAAATAGGATTGTTTTGATTTGCCGATTCCCAACGCTCCCAGGACTCCCTGAGCTGTATTCTGGGCAATGCCTAACAAAGGCCGTCCTACCCAGCGGTTGCCAAATTTGCCTGGCTTTCCCTCGAACCATCCACCTAAACACACCTGTTCATGAAAATTACGTTAGATAAATAAAAGTATAATTATGGATGTGATAAAGAATGTCCACTACATCAAGTGCCCCAGCATAATTTTTTTAAAAATTAATAATTTAAATGGATGAGAGATAGGTAGAAGGCTGCAAGCCAACCACTCTTGATGCCGACCTAGCAGTTGTGGGATGCCATGTTATATTTCCTCAAACTGGAGTACAAGCCCCCCCTCCCCCCTCCCCTCCCCTCCACTCCTCAAGTTGAAGAGACTTGTTTCAACTCACAAACACTTCACCAAACTTAATATTTGATGGCTAAGAAAAAATTAAAAAAAAAAAAAACATTATGCTGGACCACCACATGAAGTTCAAGAAAAAAAGTGAAAATAATAAGAATAAATAGTTAGCCGTGGTGACAGTTTTTGTCCCAAGGCAAACGGAATCATCACTTAATTAATAGCGCATCATGCACCATGAGGCTTTCATGATGATTCTGTTAGCCCTGGGTGACAACCACTCTCCAGCATACGTTTGTCTGCACTGCGTCTTGGCTCCGCGGGCTCCAAAGGGAACGGTAGCTATTTTGCTGAGTACCAAAGAAGAAATAGAGGACATTAACAAAGGAGAGATAGAAGAAGTAGTTGCCCCAGTCGCAGGGATCTTTAGGAGCTTCTGTGAAACAGAACATAGTATCCGAGACTTTCCAAAAGTTAGTACAGCTAGTGCAAGGTCTACTAAGACTACACATGCCATTTCATCAGACAAGTCAACAGTGTTAGACCAGAAAGCAGAAGAACAGAGTAAACGGAAAGTGATGTTAGATTTTACTTTCCGAAAGGATCAAGACAGCCAAGAGTATTGGATCCAATCCGGTCGGTGTGCTGACTGCAGCAGACTGCAGCAGATCACAGCTGACAGCTGATCAGGGTGCTGACAGTGCTGACCAGGTCGCTGACACTCGTGCTGACCGAGGGTGAGGTGGGGCGGGGCAGTGCAAGGCGAGTCCCGCAGACTGCCGAACTCGCCGTCAGCCTCTAGGTTCGGCCTCACACTGCCACCGGCCACTCCGCACCAACGAAGACCCGGTTTCTTTGGTGAATAGTAAGTAAACACAACCTTCGTGCCGTGCCGTTAAGGTCTATGTACAGTACACGTGGCTAGTGCTTCAAATAATTAAATAAATAAATAAATAATTTTAAATAAATAGTGGAGCAGCTTTGCCAGACGCAGTGTCAGACATACGTTCCGGAGAGGCGGCTGAGAAAGAGCTGCCACCAGGCGGCAGTGGGGTGCGCGGCGTCGAACAGCCGCCATATCACCTGACAAGGAGTTGTGTCCCTGGAGCGGCCCTGCAGCTGTTGGCAGAGGATCTTGCGGCGACACTGGTTGTCGCAGGCCGGCCGCTCCGCGCTGTCGCGGTAGTAGTTCCTGCAAAAGGACGCCCAGGGTGTCCGTTGGAGCAGCACGCACGACGCGGGGGACGCCGCCCACAGTGGACCCGGACGCGTTTTGAGCTCCAGAGTCGCTAAATGGGACTCGAACCGAACGTGTGACCCCACCAATGGACTGCTCTCCGAACGAGGAATCCATTGGTGGGGTCACACGTACGGTTCGAGTCCCACTGAGCGACTCTGGAGCTCAAAACGCGTCTAGAGTTTTGGCCGCCTCCAGCGGTCTTCTGGCTCCCCCGTCCACTCACTTGTAGAACTCGTCGAAGAGGGCGTCGTTGGAGGCCATGTCCCGGACGAGCCTCGTCCAGCTCGAGGGTGTGAGCGACGGCAGGTTGTAGGCCTTGGCCGCGCTGTACAGACGCATCCACTCCGGGGTGCCCTCCCGGTTGGCCGCCTTCAGGTCCATGGTCCACGTGTCGTGGTCCACCACGCTCTGCAACACAAACCACGGGTGAGACGGGGCTTCGACTCCCGCCGGCGCCCATTTTTCCCTCGGCCTCACGTAGGTGGTGTCCGGGTGCTCGCCGTCCACGTAGTAGATCCGGTAGGCGGGGTTGGGCTTCTCGTAGGGCGTCACCGAGGGCGACACGTAGGCCACCGCGTAGGGGCGCAGCTTGTCCGGGACGGCGCGGTCGAAGAAGAGCTGGAACTCGTCCCAGTGGTTGTGCCCGAAGAACAGGCCGCTCACCGTGTTCTCATACCTGCGTGCGAAAGGACGCCGTCAGCCCCGGCCGCGCCCTACCAGTGACAGCAGTGGACCGATTCCACGCCGTCTCTCTCCGACAGCGGCGGAATCGGTCCGCGGCACAGTGGGTCAGAAGACCAGTGGAGGCGGCCGAAATTCTAGACGAGTTTAAGATCCAGAGTCGCTAAATGGGACTCGAACCGAACGTGTGACCCCACCAATGGATTGCTCTCCGAACGAGGAATCCATTGGTGGGATCACACGTTCGGTTCGAGTCCTGTTTAGCGACTCTGGAGCTCAAAACGCGTCTAGAGTTTTGGCCGCCTCCAACGGTCTTCTGGCCCACTGTGCGCGGGCTGCAGGGTAGCTGAGTCGTGCACGAGGTCGCACCGCAAGAGGATCTCGTCGAAGTTCCTGCTCCACACGGAGCGGCACTCCGGCGTGCCCGGCGGGATGTGCCCCACGACGAGCACCTTCTCGCCGGCCCGCTCCGCCTTCTGCAGCTCCTCCACCAGCCAGTGCAGCTCCTGGTCCGGGTCGTCGCTGTTGAGCAGCAGCCACCTGGAGGGACCGTCAGCGCACGCCGTTTTCAGACCGCCAAACTAAAACGAACACGAGAAGCGCCCTCTCCTGCCGCCCTGTGCTGCAGACCGATCCCGAGAGTCGCTCTCGCTGTCTCTCTCGCGCCGATACGGGACGCCCCATGAGTGCGAGAGAGACAGGGCGACGAGACCGACTCTCAGTCTGCTGCGCTCGGCGCGCTGGGGGACCCACCAGTTTTTGTCGTTGCAGAAGTTGGTGTTGATGGAGACGACGCGCAGGCCGGGCTTGAAGAGCACGCTGTAGAAGGCGCCGCGCCGCACCAGCCCCGACTGGTTGGCCGGCAACCAGTGCGCCCACTGCGTCGCCACCTCGTCGTAGAGCCAGCTCATGGACAAGCGGCCCGTCACCGTGGACGGCGAGAAGCTGCAACAACCAGTCACTTCAGAAACAGTTCAGAGCTGTGGCACAGTGGACCAGAAGACCGGTGGGGCGGCCAAAATTCCAGACGCGTTTTGAGCTCCAGAGTCGCTGAATGGGGCTCGAACCGAACGTGTGACCCCACCAATGGACTGCTCTCCGAACGATGGGGTCAGGCGTTCGGTTCGAGTCCCATTTAGCGACTCTGGAGCTCAAAACGTGTCCAGAGTTTTGGCCGCCTCCGCCGGTCTTTTGGCCCACTGTCTCGCCCCGACACACTCGAATTCCCAGTGCACTGACCTGTTGACGGGCACGGCCTCGTGGTTGCCGAGGGCGGGGAACACGGGCACGCCGGGGAAGGCGCGCAGGATCATGTCGGTGGTGAGGCGCAGGATGCTCAGACTCTCCTCGCGCGTCTGGTTCCAGATGTCGTGCGGCTGCAGGTCACCCGTCCACAGGATGCCGTCCAGGTCCTGGCAGCACGCGACAGTAGCAGTGGCAAGTCACGTCACTCCGTCTCTGTCGCACTCACAGGGCGTCCCGAATGGGTGCGAGAGAGACAGAGCGACGAAAGGCCTCTCTGGCAAGCGCAAATCCAGAGGAAGGGGGAAAATGATAATTGACCCTTAGATAGCCGCTTGAAAGGACGACAAAAAGCAAGTAGCCACTTTGCGTGCCCCTCGGGCCGCCACCGCCTTACGGGGTGCTCCTTGGCGATGTGCTGCAGGGTGTTCTCCAGCAGGGCGACGGGGGCGTCGCAGCGGCCGTAGTCGCCCCACTTGCCCGCCAGGCGCTTGCCGTTGGCCGGGCCGCTGGTGCCCCTGCAGCACAGCGGCAGCTCGCAGTCCGCCAGCGAGCCCTCCTTGTAGTGCGGGTCCACGTGCGTGTCGGACAGCTGCAGCAGCTTGAGTCGCGGCGCGCCGGCCTGCGGGGCAGAAGGTCGCGGGTTCAAACACCGCGCTCAGAGAGCGTAATTACAGACGCGTTGAGCTCCAGAGTCGCTAGATGGGACTCGAATCGAGCGTGTGACCCCACCAATGGATTGCTCTCCGAACGAGGCAACCATTGGTAGGGTCACACGTTCGGTTCGAGTCCCATTTAGCGACTCTGGAGCTCCAAACGCGTCTGGCGTTTTGGTCGCCCCCAGCGGCCTCCTCTGGCCCAGCCCACTGTTCCGCACTTGCCTTCGGCTCGCGCTCGGGCTCCACGGGGGGCTTCGGTCCCGGGGGCAGCTCCACTGTCCAGTCGTGCTTCCGGTCGAAGTCATCACCGCAATCGTCCGTGAAGGCGTACGAGCAGATCTCGTTGGGCGTCAGGTTGGTGTTGTTGATGATGTACACTACTTCCGGCTGCAGGCATCAAATAAAAATACAAAATAAAAAAAAACTTTTTTCAAACTTTTTTTTGTAACGAGAGGGAGTGTTTGAACACGTGACGTACCGCGAAGAGCCTGATGACGCCGTCGCACACGGCGGGCTCCTGCACGCGGTACAGCTTGCACTGCTCCGTGAGCGTATTGGCGACGTCCTCGTCCGTGGCGCCGTCCTTCACCTTCTTCTGGATCAGCCCCGTCGCTGCGCAGAGCACGGCCGTCAGACACCCACACTGCGAAGCTCGGCGGAGCCACATGGCGCGACGAACCGAAGCGACTCACCAACCACGCAGATGAAGCACTTCCCCTTGCCGATGAACGCGTTGCCGACGGCCTGCGCCGCCTGGCCGAGCACACCGGCCTGCAAAGCCAAGAAAAAGAATTTAAAAACCGAGATTCGAACCCGCGGCCGTCCCCGTCGCAAGCCCGTCGCTGACCGCTCGGCTGTCAGCGCTAGCGCAAGCTTACCCGGGTGCCGATCTCCATGGCGGCGTTGTCCGCCGGGGCGCCGCCGTCGTCGCTGCCCGTCACGACGTACTTGTCGACGTCCGAGACCGCCGTCGCGTTCCTGGGGCCGCCGCGGCCGCCGCCAGGCCGGGCCAGGCCAGCGCGCACAGCAGCACGGCCAAGGCCAGGGGCCGCGCCACGGGCCGGGCCATCTTGACCTGCAACGGCAAGCACAGTTTGTAGAGTCGGCCGCTGTGCTCTTTGACTCAGCGGCTCTTTGACAGTGGCGCGGACCCTCAAGCGTCTTCGGCCGCCCCGCCCCGCCGCGCCCCGCCTCCCTGCAGCAGGCCTCCTTCATGCCGGCTCGCTAATTAGGCCTCGGATTGCAGTTCCGGCCAACAAAAACAACAACAAAAACAACAACATGGGAAAGAAACGAGCGATGCCATTTCAGAGTGGAGTGGCTTTTCAAACTCCAGCTGTCGTCCCGTCCCGTTCCGTCCGCCACGAGGAGAGCCTGACTGAAAAGGGAAACAGAGGTCACCGCGGCAGCGCCGGGCAGTGCGGCCCGGGGCCTCCGGGGCCTCCGGGGCCTCCGGGCGCTGCCTGCTTCCGGTGTCGCGTCCACTGGACACCGGCGGAAAAGACACTGCTGCCGCTGACTCCGGCCGACGCGCAGAGACGTACGTTCGGCCGGAAACGGGGCTGGAAACGGCGAGTGCCCGGAAGTGCACCGCACAGCGGCACAGCGCGACCGGTCCTAATTTCCAAGCCAAATGGCGATGACGACGGGCCGCGTCGCTCTGTCTCTCTCGCACTCGTGGCGCGTCTCGCGGAGGTGCGAGAGAGACGGCGCCAAGTGGATGGAAAGGCGATGCAGTTCGAGAGTGTCACCGCCTTGCCGCCGCTTGCCGCCCGGTCGGGGAATGAGAACCGGTCCGGTGCAGCGGAAGTGGGGGGCGGAGAGGGGGCTAGGTCAAGGTCTTCCCCGCGCCGAGCCACAGGCCAGCGCCGCACCGCGCGCCGCGCCTAACGCGCCGGGACCTTAATGCAGTGATGCGTTCGTGCAGGCGAGCCATTCCGAAAGGCCGTGCCGTCGCTCTGTCTCTCTCGCACCCTGTGGGGGCGCCCCGTGAGTGCGAGAGAGACAGAGCGACGCTGCGGATTCAGTCCGGGCCTTGGCCGGGCTGTGCCCATTCTCCGCGTCCTTCGAGGCCTTTCGCCGCCAGGGCCAGGCCAGGGCCCTGCAGGGTCGGCGGGATTTGGCCCTCCCCCTCCCCCTCCCCCGACAGGTTGATGCGCTGCGCATTTCGGGGCGGGCCGGAGGAGGGGGGGGGATATTGAACTCCTTCCAGAGCAGCCCCTCGGTAAATAAACACCACCTCATGACCTGCCAGGCTGCGCATACGTGCGGGCCCGGGGCACCTCCCTACGTCCCTCAACTTCACGCCCACGTCACAGTGGGCCACAAGACCGGCGCCGGCGGCTGAAACTCGAGACGCGTTTTGGGCTCCAGAGTCGCTAAACAGGACTCGAACCAAACGTTTGACCCCACCAATGGACTCCTCGTCCGGAGAGCAATCCATTGGTGGGGTCACACGTTCGGATCGAGCCCCAATTAGTGACTGTGAAGGACCAGGATTTTGACCGCCTCCACCAGTCTCTGGCCCACTGTGCACGTGTGGTCGAGGACCGCAGCGCCCAGACAGGACCTTCACGTCCAGACTTCTGGACCAAGGACCTCGGGGCTTTCACTCCCACATAATGGTGTGGCCGTGGTCCTTAACAGTTATCACAACGATGTCCCGCGGCAGCAGCCGCACTTCCCCTCGGGTCCCCGCGGCTCGCCGTGGTTCCCCCGGTTCCAGCCGTGTTCCGTTTCCAGTCAAGTTTTACGAGCCAATAGGCTGAGGGCTGGGAGCCAGGGCAGCCCCCTCCCCGGGCGTGGCGTGGCGTCCACACACGTGCCGAGCATCGCCAAGAGCAAGAAAACAGATAAACTGGTCGCGTACACATCATGTTGCAGGCAAAGGGGAGGAAAAAGAAGAAGAAATGGCGGAAAAAGTGGCGTCGGCCGCGGCGCGGTTCGACTCCGGAGCAGGAGGAAAAGTTGTTGGCAACCGTGTTAAACTATTTAGAAAGCAATAAAACAAATCAATTAAAAGGCCTAGGGAGGCCGATATCGGAAACGGGGCCCCGTCATGTTTCGGTAGGTACACCGTCGGGCGGAACAGCACGGCCGGGGCCTTCCGAGCGCGCCAGAGCGAACTTGAAAAGAAAAAGACGGTTGAAACAAAAAAGTCCAAACGGTACGGAGATGCGTGGCGTGCGCAGTCTGGGTTCCCACAGGTGTGAACCAAGCCGCTCAGCCTCGCACCTGCCAGTGCTTTCGTCCTTTAATTCCATCTTTTTGAAAAATACTGTTAAAATGATTGGTTTATAACAGGAAGGATTCTCGAAGGATTCAACAACCAACACAGGATTGGCTTTGACGTTGTTTTTTTTTAAAAATAAACATTTTAAAAAATTGGTTTTATTTCTTTCTTCTCCTTTAAGTACCATTCACAGGTGCTATTTTCCCAGCCTGGCCTTTAACAGTGGTACTTTCTGGGTGCTCCAGACAACCATAGTCACAGCACCGTCACCTCACCTCAACGAGGCCGTCCTTCGCGTCGGCCGTGCCGTGCCATGCCGAGCAGCGCAGCCGCGCAAAACAGGTACCGTCATTACTATTCCGCGGCGCGCGGACGTTGCCAAGTTTTGTGGCCGATTCGACTCGCCGCCGGGGATCGGCTCGGCCCCAGTGTACCATCACGCCGGCGACTCGAGAAACACAACAAACACGTGAAGCGGCGAGCGCCTGCCGCCCAGGCCGTCCCGTCGAGCCGGCGCGTCTTGCGGGACTGCCTACCCGGCCTTCGTCAGGGGCCATGGCTTGCCGACTGCCTGCGCACAGTGGACAGGAAGAACGGCGCAGGCGGCCAAAACTCTAGACAGAGTCGCTAAATGGGACTCGAACCGAGCGTGTTACCCCACCAATGGATCGCTCTCCGAACGAGGAATCCATTGGTGGGGTCACACCTTGGAGGAGGTCACACGTTCGGTTGGAGTCCTGTTTAGCGACTCTGGAGCTCAAAACGCGTCTAGAGTTTTGGCCGCCTGCGCCGGCATTCAGGCTCACTGTACTGCGGGCCACTCCTTTGGTAAATTTGCTTGTCACTCCAGCGCCCATCCGTTTTAAATGCCAAAATTGGGCCTCCTTGGTCCAGATCACCCTCACCGAAATTTGGCACTCCGGTGGCCTGAGACGCCAAATTTAGACATTCCCAGAGTGTCTTTTTCTACACCCGACCGCGGCGGATACACTATCCGCGGCTTCCACCCTAGGCTTCCGCCGTCGGCACGCTCGCTGACGCCGAGCTGCTGACCCGACACGACACTGGCTGCCTCGCGCCTCGCATCGAAAGACCGCCACGCCCAGCATGGCCTAGCCTGGCCCGGCCCAGCCCCACAGTGGGCCAGAAGACCGGTGGAGGCGGCCAAAACTCTAGACGCGTTTTGAGCTCCAGAGTCGCTAAATGGGACTCGAACCGAACGTGTGACCCCACCAATGGATTGCTCTCCAAACGAGGAATCCTCTGGTGGAGTTACACGTTCGGTTCGAGGCCTTTTTAGCGACTCTGGAGCGCAAAACGCGTCTAGAGTTTTGGCCGCCTCCACTGGTCTTCTGGCCCACTAGTGGGCCCGGCCCGGCCCGCAACGTTTCACTTTCGTCCGATGCAAGCCGCGCTGCAGCGCCGCGCCGGCGGCATCGCTGCCGGTTTCCTAACGCGAGGTCGCGGACCGCGCGCGCCAACAACAACAAAAAGCCGCTACACAGTGCGGCCACCGCGGCGCACAGTGTGCCGCACACGCCACGCCAGCAGCGCTTCCGACAGACATCATCCCGATAAAGGCCAGCCTCAGCCTCCGTGGGCACTCGCACTGAGAAAACCTTACAAACTATTTTGGGCCTTACAAAGAAAAGTAGTTTGTATAACAAAGTATTTTGAGCATACGTAAGCTTACAAAGAAAATACTTCGTAATTTACGAACTATTTCTTCGTATAACAAAGTATTTTAGTTTGTTATACGTATGCTCAAAATACTTCGTAAGGTTTTAAGAGTGCGTTACGTCACAAACTTTCAATGTGGGTCAGGTGAGGTCACTTCTAGCGCGCATCCAGCCTCTCTCTAGCTAGCGCTCATCCTCGCCGGCAGCAACAACAACAACAACAACAAGGCGTTGCTTCCGCGGGGCGGAAAAGACGGTACGGTCACTTCTTGACTCCAACTCCACTCGGGGACACCTCTCCTGGCCGCCGCCTGCAAGGCCCCCTGCCCACGCTCTTTTCAACGACTTGCCAACTTTCTTCGCAGCCACAGTTCCAAGCCCCCTCGTGGGGCCCGCGCCGCCCCCGCGCCGCCCCTGTGCACCGCCCCCGCGGCCCTTGAGGCCCCGCGGGGTGGCGGCCTAAGAGATTGGAAGCAAGAGCGACGCCGCCGCGCCGCCGCCCCGCCGGCGGCAGGCATATAGGTGGGCCGCAGGAATTTGTCTGAGCACGCCGCCTGGGGTGCGCCGCGCAGTGGGCCAGAAGACCGGCGCCGGCGGCCAAAACTCTAGACGCGTTTAGAGCTCCAGAGTCGCTAAACAAGACTCGAACCGAACGTGTGACCCCACCAATGGATTCCTCGTTCGGAGGGCAATCCATTGGTGGGGTCACACGCTCGGTTCGCGTCCCATTCAGCGACTATGGAGCTCAAAACGCATCCGGGATTTTGACCGCCTGCACCAGTCCTCTGGCCCACTGCGCACCACCGGAAAAAAATTTTGTTCGGGCGAGGATTCGAAGCCGGGCCAGGCGGCATGTACTCACGGACTGGACGACGGCCTACACGGCGCTGCGCTTCGGTACCGACTGCGCGTCAGCCGCGATGGACATGCAAAGCTAAGGGGTGGGGGAGCGCTGGGGTGGCCGCCGCGTCGGGGTGTTCCCCGTTAGGGGTCGATGGTGGACGGCGAGTCAAATTACACGCCATCGGCAGGGCCGGTGACGTCACGTCAATCACTCCACCCTTTCACTCGGAGAACGGGACCGCAGCGCAGCTTGCCCGAATTTCGACAAAATAACAGACAAATAGTCACTTTGGCTCGGCGCCGCCTGCCATCTCCACAAGG